TAAAGGTAAAAATCAAAAGACGAGGAATTGTTCTTGACAGTCATTCTCACTCCAATCAATAGAAAATATATGTTTTGCCTTTTCACAATTCATCAAGCTGATCAGGAATTATTCCTTTGATTACTGTGGTTTCTGAAGATTGTTCCAAGTTTTAATCAACTATAATATGTACGTCATAATTCATTTGCAAGCGGAAATCAAATAATTTGTACACATGAATTAATATACCACCCAAAAATGTCTTTTGTCGTCGTTTGTATTTTTGAGACAATGAAATTTACCATTGCATTCCCTTCAAGCATAACACATTTTCATCCCATAAACCAAAAATTTGAAAAATACTTTCTTTTCACATCGAAAATGTGAAACAACTTTAAAATGGTGGATTGATGGTTGCCAGATAAAAACTCACTTAGCTTCTGCCTGCTGATGGCATTTGGAGATCCGTTTGGGCATCCTTGCACACACTGGAAATTAAATCCATTATTATAAGGTCATTCACAATTTATAATACAAAATATGTTTCATTGCAAAAAAAAATGTAATGAGCCTCGAAGAAACCTTTGGACAGCTGAAGACGGATTTCTCTGGACAAGTGTACACGGGGGCATAAACTCCTCTCGGGTCCGGAAACGGGATGTACAAGTTTTTGGCTCCTTGCTAAAAAAAAATAAATGAGAAGAAAAACGCAGACATGCACATATGAAATCATGACTCGAAGGCAATCACAGCATCCTAAATAAAAAAATATATATCACGTATAGACAAGTCATCACGTACGTCTTTCAAACAGCGCAAGATGCAAATAGCTTTCGACACTCGCGTGTCGTCGAAACGCCAATGTCGACGGGTTCTGATCCGACCCACTGTCGAGTTGTGTGACGAAGCTGATGAAGCCCAACAAGTGCCGAGGGAAATAATCATCAACGCAATTTTCCACGCGATCTCCATTTTTTTTAGCTTTCGTGACACAAATCAGCGAACATCACATCTTGCAAAAAAAAAAAAAAAAAAAAAACACGTTCACGCCACACTTTTCTCTCAGCATTTAAAACAAATAAGTTTCCGGGTTCTAACCCGAATCTCCGAAGCGTACATATTTTTTAGCAAGCACAGAAACAAATTCCGAAAATTTTAAGCATTTAAAAAAATAAAATAATATTCCCGATTAATAAGTCCAGCGATATTCTGCACCATAAATGTTTTCGGGTCCGAGGAGGCTTTTTTTAAATTAGTTTTACGAGTGTTTTGCCAACTGATAAACCCAGACATTCCTCCTACAACAAATGATCTCACAGTCCTCTTTGTGCTGAATTAACCGAAATAATTTTCACTGAAATATTAAGACACAGCGTCGTAAGAGTTGAACGCGATTATTCTTTGGAATGGATAAAGGCGACACGATTCGATAATTTTTGAAAAAATTGAAACTCAAAGGCCGAATACTCTAAAATAAGTGCCTCACGACAGAAATCTGAAAAGTTGGGTCAATTGATCACAAGTAGAACAGCGATTGAAATTGAAATGCCCGGCTTTCACTCGTCTTTTCACACGTAGTTGAACCCCCGGAATTCAAGGAAACACTGGATGGTTTCAAGACTGGCTGGGGGAAAAAGGAAAGGGTAGTGGATTTTTTTTTCTTTCTTTCTGGTGTTATCGAGATAAGAGACAGACAGACACGCACAATGCTTTGGGAAGAGGCATGAAAATGAACAAAAGAAGAGGGGGTGATTCTAAAGTTTCTTCAATATACTTTTCAAGCATAGGCTATATGAGTATAACCAAGTTTTTTTTCTAAGTAGGAAATCCAGCTATTGTGCAAAGATTGACATTTGTCAAGGATTTATCTGAAGATTTTGCTTGATTTTGGCCTCAGGGCAACTTTTTCCGTATACAGTACCACTTGAAATTTTCGAAAAAAAGGTTCGCATTCAGCATTGACAAAAAAACAACCACCTGGAATAAAATTATTCCCTCATATCTCACTAAAACACAGTACATGCTTGATAGACATCACACAGCTTTTGCTTCTTTCAGAATTTGAATAAACCAAGCTTTTGGATTAACCTCGAAGTTCAAAAGAAAAAGCATTTATCGTATAAACAAGAGAAAAATTTAATCGATTGCATTTCAAAAAATAATGCACAGTACGCTAAGGGATTAACTCATTATTTTCACTAAATAAAATTTGGTCTCAAGCTGTCTTTTAAATTTAGTAAAAAATATTTCGTATGAGAGAGAAATTCGTTATTAGGAAGATTTTAACGATTTTGAAAATTTTCAGTCATTGGACTGCCTGACAATAACGAAATTCTAAATTGAAAAAGTTGGAAATTCAGGCGGCAAAATTTGATTTCTCTCGAAGTTTAAAGGTGTATACTTTCATGGCCTTTTTCTTTTCCGGATTCGAACCTCGGAGGTGAGCTAAAATTATGGCAGTGGTTGTAAAAAAATTGCACATTATTCTTGAATAACTCCTTCTCTCCTCATCCAACATGAAACAAAAAAAAAACCAATGAACAAACCGTACGGAACTTTCGATTCAACCCCGGTACTTGGCCCAAACAATAGGGCAGAGAAAAGCTTGTCTGGTTTTGGCGGTTTTGTTT